TGGAGTGAAGGCAGTAGCACGAGTAGCAGCGGCAGCAGTAAGAGCAGCAGAGCGGCTCGGTGAGGCTAGGCTGCAGCATCTCCAGCACTCCTAGCAGCACCTCCACCAGCAGCAGCAGTAGCACGAGCAGCAGGGCGGATCGGGTAGGGCAGGGCGGCTCAGGCTGGGCGGCGCGGCTCGGGCTCGGCGGTGCGGCTCGGCCTGGGCGGCGCGGGCAGCAGGGTGCGCACCGTGCAGGGCAGCAGGGCGCAACGCGCGGGCTGTTGTAGGGCGCGACGCGCGGGCTGCAGCAGAGCGCGACGCGCGGGGCAGCAGGGCGCGACGCGCAGGGCAGCAGGGCGCGACGCGCGGGGCAGCAGGGCGCGACGCGCGGGGCAGCTGCCGTAGGACGCGTCGCGCAGGGCAGCAGGGCGCGACGCGCGGGCTGCAGCAGGGCGCGACGCGCGGGCTGCAATAGGGCGCGACGTGCGGGGCAGTAGGGCGCGATGCGCAGGCTGCAGCAGAGCGTGACGCGCGGGGCAGCAGGGCGCGACGCGCGGGCTGCCGTAGGGCGCGACGCGCAGGGCAGCAGGGCGCGACGCGCGGGGCAGCAGGGCGCGACGCGCGGGCTGCAGCAGGGCGCAACGCACAGGCTGCAGCAGGGCGTGACGCGCGGGGCAGCAGGGCGCGACGCGCGGGCTGCCGTAGGGCACGTCGCGCAAGGCAGCAGGGTAGGGCGTGCGCGGGGTAGCGCGACGCGGGGTAGGGCAGGGCGTGCGCGGGGCAGCGCGACGCAGGGTAGTGGGGTAACGTGGTAACCGCAGTCGGCTAAGTATGGTGGGCCCGAAAAAAAAAAAAAAAAAAAAAAAAAAAAAAAAAAAAAAAAAAAAACGGTCCTATGGACCTACTGCTCTGAAACCATGTCAGAATACCAAGCAGGAATGAGTGCATTGAATGAAATGTGGGTACAAGTACTAACCCTAACTTTGGGTTGTACCCCATATGGGCTACCCCACTATAGCCTACACAGAACTAGCACAGATGTAGTTTGACAGAGAGTGACGCTGCGAGGGAAAAGCGAGAGGGGCCGACGATCACGGGGCGACGGGGCGATGGGGCGACGGTGCAGGAATTTTGGGGCGAGTGCGAAGGCGCCGAGGTGGGTGATGGGGCGGGAGAGATGAAGGGCGACGGAAGAGAGGAAGAGCGACGGGAGGGGAGGGGCGACGGGAGAGAAGATGGGTGACGGGAGAGAGGATAGGAGACGGGAGAAAGAAAGGGCGACGGGAGAGAGAAAGGGCGACGGGAGGGAGGAAGGGCGACGGGAGAGAGGAAGGGCGACGGGAGGGAGGAAGGGCGACGGGAGGGGAGGAAGGGCGACGGGAGAGAGAATAGGCGACGGGAGAGGAAGGGCAACGGGAGAGCAAAGGCGACTGGAGAGGAAAGGCGACAAGAGAGGAAAGGGGACGAGAGAGGAAAGGCGACGAGAGAGGAAGGGCAACGGGAGAGAAGATGGGTGACGGGAGAGAAAGGCGTGCGGGATGGGAGGGGAGGGGAGAGATAGCGAGGCGACGCGAACTGAGGGGAGGGCCGCGAATGGAGATAGTGAGGGCGACGTCGATGGAGGCGACAATTCGGGCGACGGGCCTCGTCAGGATCGCGACTCGACGGGCGACGGGACGGCGTCGGGACGGACGGCGCGAGGACGATCTTCACGGGAGGACGAGTGAGACGGGATAGGAAGGCGGCGAGAGGGCGATCTAATTACTGCGCAATCATGCCATACAATCACTACGCGTCTAGCTCGACAAGCTCTCTTTCAAGCTGGGGACGGGTTCACTACCGTATCACCCTGGATAGAAGCGCATATGCGCTTATAATAAAATCAGTTTTTTTTTTTTTTTTTGGGGGGGGGGGGGGGGGGGGGGGGGGGGGGGGGGGGGGGGGGGGGGGGGGGGGGGGGGGGGGGGGGGGGGGGGGGGGGGGGGGCTTTTAATTGAGTATCGGACATAAGCGCCGGCACTTATATAATGACAAATATAGAATTATAAATTATAACGCACCAAATTGTACATTTTTGTCTCGTAAGTTCAATCGAGTCGAAATTTTACAGCGTCATGAATCAGAATCGCGCGAGGGCGATTCTCTGACGCTGAACAGAGCATTTCGCACGTCAATTTGCCCGCGTGCCACCTCATCCTGACTGGACGCGCAACCAGTCAGGACCTCGAAAGTCAAACAAGGTGAAAATGGGTGCTGACTCGCTTGGAAGTTGAGATTCGTTACTGTTTTAATCAAGACTGGAAAAAAAAAATTCATGCATGCGCTTATAATAAATCAGGGGTTTACAAGGGGGGCGCTTATAATCGAGTTCCGGCCATAAGCGCCATGCTCCAGATAGAAGCGCCGGCGCCTTTAATCGGACGGCTGTCAAACAATGCATATTGTGTTTGTGTAGGCTGCTAGTGGGGTAGCCCATATGGGGTACAACCCAATGTTAGGGTTAGCTTATGTACCCAACTCTTGATCAATGCATTCATTCTTGTCTCTAGATTCTGACATGGTTTCAGAGCAGTAGGTCCGTAGGACCGTTTTTTTTTTTTTTTTCGGGCCCACCTACCGCTACCCCACGCCTGTGCCTCTGCCTGTGACGTGCTGCGCTGCGCGCGCCGTCTGCCTGTAGCCTACTGCCTGCTGCCTACTGTGTTGTCTGCTGCTGCTACCGCGCAGACCTAAGTCACGCACGCTGCCCGCTGCTGCCTCAAGCGTCGCCCTCGCTGCTCGCGCCGCTCTGCTGCCCCTCACACGCCGTCAGCGCAGCGCACAGCCCCCAGCGAGCCGCGTGCAGCCCCGTCGAACCGCGTGCAGCCCCGTCGAGCCGCGCGCAGCCCGGATTTGCCGCGCGCAGCCCCCGCCGAGCCGCGCGCAGCCCCGTCGAGCCGCGCGCAGCCCGTTTTCTGCTGCGCGCAGCCCCGTCGAGCCGCGCGCAGCCCGTTTTCTGCTGCGCGCGGCCCCGCCGAGCCGCGCGCAGCCCGCTGCTGCCGCGCGCGACCCCCCCCCCGAGCCGCGCGCAGCCCCTGCCGAGCCGCGCGCGGCCTGCTGCTGCTGCGCGCGGCCTGTTTCTGCCTCCCGCAGCCCGCGCTCGGCCCACAGCAGCCCCGCGCGCTGCCCTGCATAGCCTGCAGCTGCATCGGCCCCGACCTTCCGCTGCTGCGGCCCCTCGCTGCTGCTGCCGAGGCTCCGACCTGCCGCTGATGCGGCCCCCACTCTGCGACTGCCGCTGAAGCGGCCCCCCACCCTGCAGTTGCTGCGGCCCTACTCTACTGTCGCTGTTCCGGCCCCATCGCAGCTGCGGTCGTGCGCCTACTCGGCCCTGCTCGCCCGGCGAGCACCTGCCCTTCCAGCCTTTGGTGAGCACCTGCCTGCCTGCCTGCCTTTCGGCCTGCCTGCCTGTCTTTTTGCCTGCCTGACTGCCTGCCTGCCAGCCTGCCTGCCTGCCGGCCTGTCTGCCTGTCGGCCTGCCTGCCTGCCTGCTGGCCTGCCTGCCTGCCTGCCAGCCTGCCTGCCTGCCTGCCTGCCTGCCGGCCTGTCTGCCTGTCGGCTTGCCTGCCTGCCTGCTGGCCTGCCTGCCTGCCTGCCTGCCTGCCTGCCTGCCTGCCTGCCTGCCTGCCTGCCTGCCTGCCTGTCAGCCTGCCTGCCTGCCTGCCGGCCTGTCTGCCTGTCAGCCTGCCTGCCTACCTGTCTGCCTGCCTGCCTGCCTGCCTGCCTGCCGGCCTGCCTGCCTGTCTGCCGGCCTGCCGCGCCTGCCCTGCCCGAGCTGCTGCTGCTACTAGCTATTAGCAAGGGACCAGATGCAGCTCCAGCGACGCTCACGCGAGTCTCTCACGCCCCAGCAGCTTAGTGAGTGGTATACTAGTTGGGGCTGTCGCGGTAGCCGTCGTAGCTGTCGCCCTGGAGCTGGTCAGTTGGGGGCCTCTAGCAGTGGCCAGCTGCAGCTGCAGCGGCGTCCACGCGAGACACTTACGTCTCGGCAGCTCGAGGAGTGGTACGCTCAGAGTAGAGGGTCTTTCAGTCCAGTGCGCTGCCGGTACGTCATTCGCACAGGTGATCGAGCTGGTCAGACCTGCGGGACGCCTGGTCACACACAGTCCCGCTGCTTCGCCCGCCTGAGCGACGCCTGGCGTACCGAGTTTGGTGACGAGGCTGAGCTCCCCACCTGGCTGGAGCTGCTTAGCCAGAGGATAGATATCTTTGCTCTTGACTATGATGCTATTCTCACTGCTATGTATGCATTGCCTACTAGTGCTGACCGAGCCTGTTACCTGTGCGTACCGCCTGACCCAGGTATAGAGCCTGCTGCTCTCGGTGCTGGTGAGGCTGCTGCTCTAGGTGCTCGTGCGTCGCCTGCTCTAGGTGCTGGTGAGGCTGCTGCTCTCGGTGCTACTGCGTCTTCTGCTCTAGGTGCTGGTGAGGCTGCCGCCCCAGGTGCCTGTGAGTCTGCTCTCTCTGGTACTGCGCCTGCTGCGGCCTTGCACACCTTCACCCTTGACTCAGGAGCTTCCCGCTCCTTCTTTCGCGACTGCACCACACTCACGCCGCTTAGTCAGCCGGTTGCAGTCTCCCTGGCGGACCCCTCTGGGGGTCCTGTCGTTGCCCGCTACTCCACGGTTTTGCCGTGTCCGGCCGTCCCATCTGGCGTGCTGTCAGGTCTCTACCTCCCCTCGTTCTCTACGAACTTGGTGAGTGGAGCTGACCTCCAGGATGGGGGAGTTGACCAGTTCACTCCTGCGAGTCAGCGGGTGACTCACTGTACGTGTGCTCGGACGGGCCGACACCTGGCCACGTTTACCCGTGCGCCTGGCTCGAGTCTGTACACACTGACCACTGCGGCCCCTCAGGTAGCTGCGTCTGCGTCTGCGTCAGGTCAGCTGTCGGCCCCCTGCGAGTGTCGTGCTTTGTCGCACCAGACCCTCCTGTGGCACCACCGCCTTGGTCACCCCTCGGTGCAGCGCCTTCGTGGCATGCACTCTCGCTCTCTGGTTTCTGGTCTCCCCAGGACTCTGCCTGCCCTCCCTCCCTCGCCTGCGCCTCCTTGCATTCCCTGCGTCGAGGGGCGGCAGCGCGCCGCTCCTCATTCCTCCTCGTTCCCTCCCACAGAGGCTCCCCTGCAGACTCTCCACCTGGACGTGTGGGGCCCAGCCCGCGTCCGTGGACAGGGCCACGAGCGGTACTTCCTGCTGGTCGTCGACGACTTCACGCGTTACACCACGGTCTTCCCCTTGCGCAGCAAGGGTCAGGTCCCTGATGTTTTGATCCCTTGGATCCGCGCTGTTCGTCTCCAGCTCCGCGAGCGGTTCGAGAGGGACTTTCCTGTCCTGCGTCTGCACTCTGACAGAGGTGGTGAGTTCACCTCCGACCTCTTGGCGGCCTACTGTGCGGAGCACGGCGTCCGCCAGACGTTCACGCTTCCGGCCTCTCCGCAGCAGAATGGGGTTGCTGAGCGCCGCATTGGCTTAGTCATGGAGGTCGCTCGTACCTCCATGATCCATGCGGCTGCCCCTCATTTTCTGTGGCCGTTTGCGGTCCGGTACGCCGCGCATCAGCTCAACCTCTGGCCCCGTGTCTCCTTGCCGGAGACCTCGCCCACACTGCTGTGGACGGGGAAGGTTGGCGATGCGTCGCGTTTCCGGGTCTGGGGTGCTCGTGCCTTTGTCCGCGATACCACTGCGGACAAGCTCTCCGCCCGCGCTATTCCCTGTGTCTTCCTTGGCTTTGTCCCTGACGCGCCTGGTTGGCAGTTTTACCACCCCACCTCGCGTCGTGTCTTTGCGTCTCAGGACGTCACGTTCGACGAGTCGGTTCCCTTTTACCGTCTCTTCCCCTACCGCACTGCCCCTCTCCCTCCCCCGCCGCTCTTCCTCGCTCCAGGTGCTCCCCAGGTCGACCCTCTCCCCGCTCCAGGTCCTGCTCCCTCAGGTGTGTCTCAGGTAGACCCTCCTCCCTTCCCTGCGCCGGTTGAGGTCACTGGTGACTCAGGTCCTGCTGGGGGTGGTCCTGCTCGGGGTGCTACTTCTGGGGGTGCTGAGTCTGGGGGTGCTGGGCCTGGGGGTGCGGAGCCTGGGGGTGCGGAGCTTGAGGGTGTAGAGCCTGGAGGTGCTGAGCCTGCGTGTGAGGGGTCTGGAGGTGCTGGAGCTGGTGGTTCTGGGGCTGCTGAGGGTGCGAGCGCTGGAGGTTCTGGAGCTGCTGGAGGTTCTGGTGCTGGTGGCGCTGGAGCTGCTGAGGGTGCTGGCGCTGAGGGTTCAGAGTCTGCTGTTGCGCGGTCTCCTTGGAGTAGCCGCCTTCGTCCACGTGTGCCTCTCACCTTGCAGCAGCTGCACGACTGGTACGGTCGCCGTCAGGGTCGCGCTGCTGGAGCCCGGGGCTCTACTGCTGGAGGTACTTCTGCTGCCGTCCCTGGAGCTAGGAGTGGTGCTGGTACTGTTTCTACTGGAGGTGCTGGAGTCGCTGGTCCCGGAGGTGCTCGTACTGGAGGTACTGGAGCTGCTGGGGCTGAGGGTGCTGCGTCTGGAGGTGCTGCTGCTGGAGACACCGAGGCTGGAGACCCTGGGACTGGAGGTGCTGGTTCTGGGGGTGCTGCTGCTGGAGACGTGGAGGCTGGAGACCCTGGGACTGGAGGTGCTGGTTCTGGGGGTGCTGCTGCTGGAGACGTGGAGGCTGGAGACCCTGGGACTGGAGGTACTGGTTCTGGGGGTGCTGCTGCTGGAGGCACTGGGGTTGGAGACCCTGGGCCTGGCGGTGTCGGTTCTGCTGCTGGAGCTGCTGGAGCTGCTGGAGCTGCCGGTCCTGGTGCAGCTGCGCCGCCACGACTGTTCTTCGCTCCGCCGTCTCCGTCGTCTCTGCCGTCGCCTGACTCTGTTCTTCGTCAGGTTCTTACTCTCCCGTCGTCTACTGGTCTTCCGTTACAGCCTGGCTCACCGCTGCCTGCTCCTTCTCCTTACACTGAGCAGACAGGTAGTCTTGCTGAGCGTCGTGAGCCTGCGTCGCGTCCTGTCTCGCCTGTTCGTCCTAGTCGTACCGGTCGTCGTGTTCCGCGTCCGCGTTCGCCGCCTGTCCCCACCGCACACCTTGTCGTCCGTCGTCCTTCCTCTGTTCCGCAGTCTGTTTCTCTGCCGTCTCCTCCTGCGTCTTCCTTGCCTCACGTTCCGGACCCTGAGTCTGACCGGTTTCGTGCTGAGCACCCTACTGTCACGCGTCTGCTCGCCACTGTTGTCACTGACCCCTCGTTTGAGTCTGCTGCTGCGACTGCTTTGGTTGCTGAGCTTGTTGACTTTGCGGCTGCCTGTCGTCTAGACTACGCTGCTAGTCTTGTCGCTGAGTCTGAGTCTGTCTGTCCTCCGTCCGTCGGGAGTGAGTGTGCTCTTAGCACGGACGTCCTTGAGGACAGGCACGAGGACCTTGAGTGTCTTGCAGCCGCTGCGCCTCATCTCGTGACCATGCTGCTTGCCCCTGAGGGAGACCCGGATGCACTAGACATCCCCACCCCGCGCTCGTACGCTGAGGCGGTCGCGGGTCCCTACTCCTCTCAGTGGCAGGCAGCCATGGACGCAGAGATGGCATCCTGGAAGTCCACAGGCACCTACGTCGACGACGTTCCCCCTCCTGGGGCGAACATCGTCAGTGGCATGTGGATTTTCAGGGTGAAGCGACCGCCTGGTTCTCCGCCTGTCTTCAAGGCACGTTACGTTGCTCGAGGTTTCAGTCAGCGAGAGGGGGTTGACTTCTTCCAGACCTTCTCCCCCACCCCGAAGATGACCACTCTTCGGGTACTGCTGCACGTTGCCGCCCAGCGTGACTACGAGCTTCACTCGCTTGACTTCAGCACAGCTTTCTTGCAGGGCAGCCTGCACGAGGAGATCTGGCTGCGCCGCCCACCTGGCTTCACTGGGTCGTTCCCTCCTGGTACCCAGTGGAGCCTCCGCCGGCCAGTCTACGGTCTCCGTCAGGCGCCTCGTGAGTGGCACGACACACTGAGGACTACGCTTGCGGCTCTCGGGTTTGCGCCCTCCACAGCTGACCCGTCACTGTTTCTGCGCACCGACACCTTGCTGCCGCCGTTCTACATCCTCGTGTACGTCGACGACTTGGTCTTTGCCACTGCTGACACTGAGGCTCTCGCCCTGGTGAAGTCGGAGCTGCAGAAGAGACACACGTGCATAGACCTGGGTGAGCTGCGCAGCTACCTTGGCTTGCAAATCACCCGGGACAGAGCACGGTGCACCATCACTCTGACTCAGTCACACATGGTGCAGCAGGTCCTTCAGCGCTTCGGCTTCACCTGGTCCTCTGCACAGTCCACTCCTCTGGCTAGAGGTCACTCGCTCTCAGCTCCACCTTCGGACGAGTCCGTAGAGCCGAGTGGTCCTTACCCAGAGCTAGTAGGCTGCCTCATGTACCTGATGACTTGCACTCGTCCTGACCTTGCGTACCCTCTTGGCCTTTTGGCCCGCTACGTGGCTCCTGGTCGGCACCGAAAGGTGCACTGGGATGCTGCGAAGAGGGTACTGCGCTACTTGTGCAGTACATCGGGCATGGGGCTCGTGCTTGGAGGACGGCGAGAGGTGGTCCTCACTGGGCACTCAGACGCGTCTTGGGTTGACGACCAGGCTACACAGCGGTCGTCACAGGGTTACACTTTCAGCCTCGGCTCTGGTTCTGTTTCGTGGCGTTCTACTCGCTCGTCTTCTGTTCTCAGCTCCAGTTGTGAGGCTGAGATCTACGCCACCGCCATGGCTGCTCAGGAGCTGCGCTGGCTCACGTACCTGCTGACCGACCTGGGAGAGCGGCCTCGTTCTCCTCCAGTTCTGTACGTTGACAACAAGGCAGCCATTGCCTTGTGTGAGGAGCACAGACTGGAGCACAGAACGAAGCACATCGCTCTGCGTTACTTCCTGGCTCGAGAGTTGCAGCAGCGTGGTCAGCTTCGTCTTGCACACGTGGCCACTCGGGCCAACACTGCTGATATATTCACCAAGGCACTTCCGTCTGGTGATCATCAGCGCTTTTGTACCTTGTTGGGCCTTGTGCCTACGTTTCCACACTTGCTGTAGACTCTGTCTGTACTGTGATCTTTATATATATATGTCAGAATCCCAGTCACTAACCACTGGGATAAAAGGGCTTGTTTATATAGCGGGTGAGTGCGCCCATAACCCCCCAGGCCGACGTGCCTGTAACCCTTCCCTAGGATCATCGGGGATCCCCAGTGGACCTCTGACACCCCCCCCGCACTGGGATGCCCGAAGTGCACACACCGGGAATCGAACCCGAGACCTTCGCTCTGATACCATGTCAGAATCCCAGTCACTAACCACTGGGATAAAAGGGCTTGTTTATATAGCGGGTGAGTGCGCCCATAACCCCCCAGGCCGCCGTGCCTGTAACCCTTCCCTAGGATCATCGGGGATCCCCAGTGGACCTCTGACAATATATACCTGCATGCTTGCTCTTGCTAGGTAGTGATCACTGTACTTTGTTTGTTGCATATATACCTCTGCATGTGGACTGGCCTTGTGGCCCTTTGCTTGTGCTCAGTCTGTGTGGTGACGTTGTGATCCACCCTGAGCTTGGTTTGTTTCTCTTGACTGGTCTTGTGACCCCTTGTTCTCCCCCACTTTGCCTATGGGGGTGTGTCAAACAATGCATATTGTGTTTGTGTAGGCTGCTAGTGGGGTAGCCCATATGGGGTACAACCCAATGTTAGGGTTAGCTTATGTACCCAACTCTTGATCAATGCATTCATTCTTGTCTCTAGATTCTGACAACGGCGCCTATATCCGGGGCCATACGGTAGTTGGGGTACCGTTTCTTCAGTCTTCTTAAATACCGTCATCGCCCGGATAGTGAACAGTGTTGAATAGTAGACGGGTTGTCTACTATCCGGGTGTCTCTTATAAACAGGCTAGCCTCATTATAAGACACCTACCCGTAAACCCACGGATCCAAGACCCCCTCCAGTTGTAGACCCCCGGGTCTATAATACGGGGGGGGTACTCTATTCAAGTCTATCCGGGTTATACCCCCCTAAATGGCATCTGACTTTATAAGACCCCCCCCCCTCCCACTGGCGACCTACCATCAGCCTTCGGATATACACGTTTCTTTAGGGGGTGCGCTTAAAATCGAGGATTTTCATAAGTGTCGGCCCATATATGATGATATACCGTATATGAAATCTGTTTTTTCTTCACCAATCAATACATCTCGTTCTTACAATTTGAATCGAGTCGAAACTGGTATACGTGGATCTGGTGGAGAACATCGAACAAGTTGGCAGAGAATGATTCCATGCCGGTGCGAACAGTAAAGAATGAGCCAATTTTCGCGCCTGACATCTCATTCTGACTGGACATGCTGGTAATGAACTGAGCGAGGGTCAAGGATCTTGAAATTCAAGACTTCCAACTAGATTTCGTGATGACGTGCGCTTGATCCTCGTCGAGACAATTTCGCATGTTTTTTTGAGGTGCTAAAAACGGAGCACTTTCCATTCACTTGTCTAAGCTCAAAAACATGTGTCTTAAAAAATACATTTTGTAAAGACTCAGGTCTTATAAAATATATGCCATTTATTTAGACCCCCCCATTTTTTTTTGTGTGCATAGCATAATACCCCCGGGTCTTATATCCGGGGGTTTACGGTATTTGTGTGTACGCGTTAAGCCAGTGTAGAGGTTAGGGGCAATCGTATAGCGAGGGGGTATCTTCTTAACGGTTCTCTGTCCATTTATAAGATTTATAAGACACCCTAAACCGTCCCAAATACAAGACAACCCAAGCATTTTTGCCCGTGTACGAGATAAGACATATATGTCTACCGGTACACAAGAACTTCGTTTCTGCTAAAAGAAATGATAATTTTTGAAAGTGTAATGAAATGTAACACTTTCTAAAATTTTGTATTGTGAAAAGGGGTACGTGGCCAGCACAGCAAAGGTAGCGCCGAAGCGCTACTCGCCCTCTTTTGCCTACAAAAGAGGGACGTGGGGACATTCGTTGTACTCCTAAACCCTAACGCGGTAAGCCCCGGTAACGCGTCGGAAACTTCAACTCCCGCCGGGGCAACCGATCGTCACGGAAAACGGAGTGCAGAAGAAATTTCTGCTGAGGGACCCTCGGCTGTCGACCTCCTGCTCTGAGGCAACCCTTCGCGCTGCGTCAGAAGACACACGCGCGGCTGTGCTGAAGAGCGCGTGCCTGGCAGGCAGGCACGCGCGCTGCAGAAGACGACGGCGGCCGCTGACGCGACTGCCGTCTTCACCGCGGCTGACGCGGGTCAACTCGGGCCCACGACGCAGAAGCGCCAGCGCGCGGCACCCTCTGCTGACGTCGCGCAAGTCAACGCCCTCCCCCCTTTGACTGCGCAGCAGCTGCAGGCGATTTTCTCGATATTGCAGCAGCAGTCGCCTGGTACAATTGCTACATCGACCGACTACAATTCTGCATCCGTAAAAACGGAAAAGCAGAAAGAAGCCGTCGCGACCCCTCGCACCACCAAGGTCGCTCGCGCCAACCGCCGCCGCTGCACCCGCCCCGGCTCCTGAACCAGTTCAAGCTCCCGCAATTGACGACAGCGACAACTCTGACAATGACGACGGTGAGGCCCCCGACAACCTTGCTCGTCGTCGCATTCTCGCACCCGCACCTCCCCTTCCTCCCTCAACCCTTCACCCGCAGCTACTACCTTCATGCGCAAGGGAGTGCGTGACCAGGCAGAGGTTTTTTCTGCAATTCAAGCACATCTGCGACACGTCGAGTTCAAACTCCAAAACGGCGACGTCGAGGGAGCGCTCTCCAACGTGGCGCAAGTCGAGACGCTTATCAACAAGCGTTTCGAGGTGCTCTTGGTGGCGGATGAGGCCCGGTTCGAGGCGGCGGATCGGTTCCAGTTGTACCAAGCGAAGAGCGTACTCATGTCGCGCTCTTACAAGCTCGCGGTAGCCGACGTGGCGGCCCTCAAGCGTGCACGTACCGGCTTCGCCCGCGGAGGCCGCCTTCCCCCTCGAGACGGTGAACCGGAAAGCAAGGGCATGCCACCCGCGGCCTGCCATGAGCCCCGCTTCAAGGGCGTGTGCTTCCGTTGCGGCCAGCCCGGACACATGGCCAACAACTGCCCTATGGGAGGGCGTGGCGCACAAGGCCCCGCACCCGTGGTGTGAGAGGACCCATGGGGCGGCGCCCCTTGCCACTATGCCGGGGGGCGTAGGTGGATGCACCGATGGTGCTTAGGCTGGTTAGGAGCCTTGGAGCATAGCTCATGCCAAGGGGGCCAGGGAAAAAGTGCAGCCGTAGGGGCTGGTTAGGGCGTAGGCCTACGCTTGCATGCCTTTGTGTGGAATAATAGAGGTTGATTAAGAAAAAAAAAAAAATGAAGACACAACAACAAGGGGATGAAAGAAGGCTGGCACGGCATGTCAAAAGCAAGCCCCACCTCAAGGAAGGCAGCCATGAAGGAAGCTTGGCTAGGTGTGAATCACGAAATAAGGGCTGAGCAAAGCAAAGGAAAAAAAAAAAATGGGGGAGGGGAGAGGAAGAGAGAGAGAGACATGGAATAAGGAAGAGGAGAGGACAGAGAGAGGGAGAGAGAGAGAGAGAGAGAGAGAGAGAGAGAGAGAGAGAGAGAGAGAGAGAGAGATAGAGAGAGAGAGAGGG